TCTGTGAGGCTTGTTTGCTCTGCAACTTTCCCATTTTTTTTTTTCTTTATGTTATCAAAACAATGTCTTTTTGACCTTTCTACTTTTAAGGGTTGGATTTTAATTTTTCTTTGGGCCAGGGTGTTATAATATCTCTCACTTTTAAAATAAATTTGGTCCTCCAAATTTGCAGTGACCAGGTGGTTTAAAGATACCCTTTATTCATTTCCAAGTTTCCTCTTCAACCTAATAGTTTTGTTATAATATTTTTACTGGTGGAATCTCTTTAGTTCATAGTCAGTTCTTTTATAACTCTCATAAGTAAGGTACAGTTGCTAAGAGTTTGTCTTATAAATTCATTTTTTGTTTTGTTTTTGTTTTTGGATATTTACTCTAACTAAAAAGAATGTCATCTAGGGCTATAGTGATCCTCAATGTTCACTAACGTTCCCCAATTTTACATGTCTGAATTAAATTATCATTCTTCAACTTTTGAGAACTTAATATGTGGTTACTTGGAACATACCATCTATTGGATTTATAGAAGGTATTAATACTGAAACATTCGTGTCATCCCTAAGAACTTAGGATTTCATAACTTCTGAATCTTGGCTTGTGAATTTTGAAAGGTGTTATAATTTTCAAGACTTTTTTCCTTCTATATTTGTTGACTTGATGTCTACTTAGATTATCCTTTAACTAACTCGTATAGTTTCTCTAATTTCGTCAAAGATTAAAAATTCCTAATATACTCCTCATTCTCTATTCTTCACAAGGATGAGGTTTTAATTACATGAATACCCCAACACTATGGTATGTTTACCTTCCCTCAAATTTTCTCTGTCTTGAGTGAAAATCATTTGTTATCTAATTTCTGAAAATTACCTTTGAAAATTTTTAAAATATTTTATTACCGAAACTTCCTCCTCTTTACTCAATGGGTCTGGTGCCTAACTAAGTTACTCTTAGTTGAGTCAAATTGTACTTCTACCCCATCAAGTTTTGAATTACTTTTAAGGCATCTCAATACTTGACTAGATTCTTCTTCTTAAAGTCCTTTTAAGTAAACAATTATAAAATTCATGCTCTTACTGAAATTTATTAGGAGTATTTGATGGAGGGATCATATATGGCCTAGCTAAAATTGATAATATTCTCTACCTATTCCATTCCTTTTATTATGGTTAAGTACTATACCTTTCGCTTCTTAATGTTGTAAGTGATTATTCTTACGTATGACATTAAGATCTGACTCGTGGGTTTATCATACTCGTATTTAGTCATTGTGACTTGAAAAATATTTCTTCATATGTTAAATTTTTAATTTGAGAGTCTTTACTT